GTATTATGTATTTTTTCAAAGACATATTCTAAGGAAAGGGAAGATTACAAATTGTCCTAGATGTGAGCTTATTAGGACCACCATATAAATTTTACAAACTCCATGAGGCCTAATTAAATTTTCGTGCCTGGGCACAAAGGCATAATACGACAGTCTGTGGCTCTCTGACAAGGTGTTAGCACCACAGGCAAACTGGAAACATGTAAAACCATTTCCAGAGCCACATTCAAATCCCTTTTCAATTACGTAGAGAGTGATGATATTGTCTTCAACTGACATAGTTAAAAATTTATCTACACATTGGCCTAATATCTCTGAAATAGAAGATACATTTTCTTTCTCTGTGTTACTCCCTCTGAATCAGACTGTGTTAAAAGCAATCAGCCCCAGACTCAAGGAGGCAAATCACAAGGCCCAATGTAGTTTCTGTGTAGAAACATCCATAACTAAAAGTATGAGCCAGAGATTTGGAAAAGAGAAATGATACACACAAAAGCAATTCAATTGGATAAAAATATTAAGTGAAATTGTCACGGCTCCCTTTTTGATGAAGGCTTTGGAGCTCATGAACTATAAGCCACACGGCATAATCATCATTTAGACCCAATCACTTAGAACAGATGATGGCCATTCACGGTATGTTCAGAGATTATCCTCAGGGTACGCAGTTACGCAGGGATTTGTTTTGCCACCATCTAGACTTGTCACTGTTGAATTAGCTACAGAGCAGTGGAACTCACAAACTTTATAAACTTGCAGGCTACCATGGATGCAGAGAAGCATCAAAGTTGTATGGTCACTGGACAAAAACCTATTTTAAGATAATAATCTATCAATATCATGCCAAAGGAATGGGATGCATTCATTTTGAGATGCATTGCAAATAGTGGTTTTCCAATGTAAATATGCTATCTTTGCTCTGCTGGTCTTCATCCCCAACCCCAACGCTCTCCTGGTAACCCCATGTACAACAGAGCAAAACGCGGCACCGTCCTCACCATCATCTTTACGTTCCAGTGCGCCCTTGGGGTCACAGCCTCAATCTTGGAGGGTCTTCCTCTTCTAAACTGACCCCGTCTACTTTGCCAAGCACCACGTCCTCTAGGCGGACTGGTGCACCTCCTGGTAGCCCATCCAAAGTACATCAGACAAAGGTGCACCATCTCACCGTCCTGACTGCGGAACAGTTCCTCACCAACACCAAATTCACTGACACCAATTCTTCTTCGCTCTTCCTTACCCATGGTCCAGCTTTCGACAACATATGACATGTCTGGAAACATCATGGTTTGAGTCGGGCACACCTTGGTCCTCCAGGTGTCCTCTTCTACTGCTAATATTTCAAAGAGGGATTTTGCTGCAGGCAGACAACGCAGCATCGTTTTGAGTTCTTGCACACTGCTTCCGTGGGCACCGAGTGTGCAGACGAGTGAAATGGCAGCCTGGACAACTTCCATACTTTGTTTATCCTGATGTTTGCTCCGTGGCCCAGTTGGGAAGGTTTCTGTTTCTTTTGACATGTAATCCATATTTATTACAGGTGAAGGGTTTTTTCTAATCTTCATCAGTAAGTATTTCAAGTACACTTTGCTTTCAGCAAGCAAGGTTGTGCCAACTACGTACCAAAGATTTTTACTCAGTCTTCCACCAATCTAGATGTTTCCTCTTCACACAGTCTAGATTCATGGGTCATTTGCTTAGCAAAAAGATTGACTAAACACTATGAAAAGATACAACCGGGAAAACGTATCTTCCTTGATTTTAAACAATATAGCATTCCCTTGACCTCTTCAAAAGACTTATCACTGTATCTATGGATCCATCTCTCTTGAATAGCCTTATATGCATGTGAAAGTTGGACACGGAATAAGGAAGATCAAAGAAAAAGATTGATGAATTTAACTGCGAGGTTGGTGAAGAACATTGAAAGTACCATGGACCGCCAAAAGAACAAACAGATCTGTCTTAGAAGAAGTACAGCCAGAATGCTCCTGAGACAAGGATGATGACACTTAGCCTTTCATACTTTGGATATGTTATCGGGAGACACCAGTGCCTGGAGAAGGACATCAAGCTTGATAAAGTGGAGAGGTAGTGACAAACAGGGAGGTCCTCAATAAGATGGATTGATACAGTGGCTGCAACAACGGGCTGAAACGTAAGACCAAGTATGAGGATGGAGCAGGACTGGGCATGTTTTGTGCTGCTGCAGACAGGGTTGCTGTGTTAGACAGGGTTCTATCTCCGTTGCTATGAGTCAGAACTCACCCAACTGCACCTAACAACAACGTAGACCGACAGGCAGGCAGTTGGGTGGATTAGAAGGGGAGTTCACACAACTACTGCAAACAAACTGATGCCCAGTTGCAGTGAAGTAGAGTTTCTTAACCTAGCTCTTCCATCTAAAGAAGTCTCGAAGGATCTCTGGTGGAACAGAGGGTTACATAATGGGCTGTGTGTTAGTCTGGGTACATTAAGAGAAACAAATCCACAGAAACTCATATGTACAAGAGAGAGTTTTATATAAAGGGTAAGTGCACATCAAGAAAACATTCCAACCCAGTACTGCCCAGGCTCACAAGTCCAACATTAGCCCATATGTCCGACACCAATCCACAAAGTCAACTTCCATTCCACAAAACACATGCAATGATGCTGACAGCAGGAGGAAAGCCGAATCAGTGAGCATGTAAGCATTTCAGCCCTGGCAGGGGTCTCCACACAGCTGCTCCAGCACCCAGGGCTGCATCAGGGTAGGCCCACGTGGCTTCTCCTCAGGGATGTCTTGCAGGAAATGAGCCTTGCCGGCTGAAGCAGGGAACTGGCTAAGGCAGCTGCACCCTGGTCCGACCATCAGAAAGCAAGAGACCCGAGAACTTAAAAGGCGAGGTTCATCGAGCCATTTATCTCTCCACCCTTCAATTAACCTCACGTGTTTATCAGCCAGATTGGCAGAATGAACTTTAACTATCTCTGACTGCAAACTGCTAAGTCAGCTGTTCAAAACCTCAAGACACTCTGAGCAGAAAGATGAGGCTTTGTGCTCTTATAAAGATCTGTAGCCTTGGAAACCCACAGAGGCAGTTCCACTTTGTCCAGCAGGGTCACTATTAGTTGGGATAGACTCTGGCTGTGGGCCGGCTTGATCCATACCTCCATAATTCACGTTAAATGATTAGGTGGGAGTCTAGAAGGGATTGGTCAGTTTCCCCATTCCTCAGAGGATTAAGAGCGCCCGCTCATAGGCAGACAGAGAGCATTTCCAGGACCATCAAAGAGGAGCCATCAGCCAAGCAAGTTCAAGATCCCTGCCTGATGTAGCAGAGGCACAACAGCCCACGCCATGCCAAGACCTGAGCTACAAAGCAAAGGAGCCACAGCTGAGCCCACAGACCCAAGACGGTGTGCAGAGCCGCGGAGAGGCCTCCTGCCCATGGAACAAGGCCCAGGGACCGTGCGACCTCCCCATCTTTTCCTGACCATCATTTTATTTTTTTAAAATTATTATTATTATTATTGGAATGCACAGGTCTGCACTTTGCATTTTCCCTCTGCTCCACACTGGTACTTACTTGTGGGAAGGCAGGGTAAAATGAGCCTACTCCTCAGAAAACAGAGGCGATCAGTACACGGGAACAACAGCGATGGTAATGACGCCGCTACATGGTGCTGCCATGAGGTCCACGCGTGTGTGATACAGTCTGTTAGTTTGCTTTTCTTCCATCCCAGGGATTATTTGTATGATTTTCCCACTTACTGCTATCATGGCCCATCTGAACGTTGATGCGAAAGCTACCAGTGTCAATTACGAAAATCCACAACTTAGGTAAAAATTGGTCATCTCCTTAGAAACTCATGAGGAAAAACACAAATTCACTGCCATCGAGGCAATGCAAACTTCCAGCCACCTTACAGGACAGGAGAGGGCTGTCCCTGCGAGTCTCCAAGACTGTAACTCTTCAAGCGGAAGTAGAAAGCTGTCTCACTCACTCGGAGCAGCTGGGTGGTTTCAGACTGCAGACTTTGTGGTCAGCAGCCCAACACGACACCACTGCACTCTAAAATAAAAGCAGTTGCCACTGAGTTGCATCTGACTCATTGAGACCCAGGGGTGCCAGAGAAAAACTGTGCTCTTAGATTTACCCCCAAATAAACAAAGGAACCCAGCTGCCACCGAGTTGATTCTGAGTCCTGATGTCCACGTGGGTTTCACAGAGAGCTGGCCGCCCGAGTTTTCAACAGCTCCCAAGAGTCAGTCACCAGGCCTTTCTTCCGCGGGTGTATTAGCGCCACCAACACTTTATCATTGGCGCCACCCAGACGCCTCGTCTTAAATTTAGGGGGTTGAAATATAGAGTAAACATTGCAGGCCAGCTCGTGCCACTGAGTGGGTTCCAACTCACATCCACCTTTGACCTTATGTGACCAGGACATGCTGTAGTGAGAACAACTGCCCGTGAGAAATGCTCACAATGGGAGTATTTTCAACACAATTACGCAGTGGGGGTCAACTAACCTTTCTTGGTTCCCTCTTCATACGGATACTCATTCATCCATTTGGGTTTTAGAGTCACATTGATCCTGCAAGAAAACCAGACAGGGGGAAATGAGTAAAGTTCTTTGTGTTGCTACGACCCACCCCACCCCACCCCACCAGACAACGTTACAGATCTCCCCAATTAACCGTGCAGTTCTTTATGCTTCGGGCCAGTGACGCAGGCAACAAGGAGAGCTGGCGTTTTAGCTTGTTTGCTCTGCCTTTGATTTTTGTGCTCGATCTTAAAGAGCCATTTAAAAGGCCGAAACACCAACCATGACACAGCTGTAAGATCACAAACTACGACAAACACAAAAGACTACGTTCCTGGAGAAAAGGCCAGGGGATCTAGGAACGACGAACGGGGAGAGAAATTCAGAAAGGAAGAGGTTCCAAGGTGACCGGCCCCCAAGTAAAACCAACCAACCAACAAATCAATTGCCATCAAGTTCTGACTCCCAGCATCCCACAGGGCAGAGTAGAGCGCTGCCCCGGGAGTGCCCCAGGCTGCACATCCTTACAGGAGCAGAACGCCTCTGCTTTCTCTCTTCCAGTTGTTGGTGGATTCGAACTGCTGACCATGCAGTTAAAAGCTCACTGAGTAAATCTGCTAGACCACCCCAGGGCTCCTCGACTGTTTTAAATTAAAAAGTATATAAATTAATATACCCTATCTCATTGCGGTCTCAGGAGTCAGAACCAAACCACCCAGGAGGTTTTCACTTTTGGCAAATTAATATATATAAGTAACTTCTTAGAAATTAACCAAATCTATTTTAAAAGAAAAAGGAAAGCTTTCATAAAAGCCTCTAAATTCTTAGGAACCCTGATCTCATTCAAAATAATTCAATATTATTAGACTTAAGAATTCTGACTTCAAGAGACCATCTGCCCCCTACAACAATTTTGATGTTTTATTGGAAACTCTTGTTTATTCTCTCTTGCTTCAGAATTTCCATTTCATAAGGCAAATTTTCTCTTTGGCAATGAGTTAAAGCCAGTTTATGAGACAGAGTTGGCCCACTCTTCTCTTTGGAATTACACTGCCACTGTGAGGTGGGCACACCGTGGAGTTCCTGGCAGACCTACAGTGCCCACGTCTCCCTGTCTGGAGCAGCGGGCCTGTACGCCTGACCCCCACACATTTGAGCAGAAAACAAGGCCACTTACTCCTAAGGCCTGTAAGTGAGAGATAGAAGAATTCACAAGCTTCACGGTCAGGTCCTGTGACGGAAACTGCCCTTTAATCTTATTCTGGGTTTAAATGTAGCGACACAGGTGCCTCACTATATACAAGTCTAAACATAGCCAGTGCTATATGCTATAGTTTCCACTATAATTGGGACTGCTACTGAAAAAGCAGTATTGTGTAAAAGCAGTATTTTAATGTTACAGTGGCAGCGCTAGAAATCGCCTTTGAAATTCAGAGTTCCCCTCCCCACGTTCACCATAATGCGGGATCCCTTGAAAGGTGTTGTCTAGTGGAGCATAGGACTTGGCAACACCTCTGGCTCGTTCTGATCCTGGCCATAGATTTTATTTCACAAGGAGGTTTTGCCATCCTTTTAATACTTATGTCATATGTACTGGGCGTGTTTTCATGTGAAATTAACAATACTGACTCTAAAATTCCTAACTCCTTTTGTGATACCATAACTAACTCTTTTTTTGGATACAATATTGTAGACCCCCCTGATTCATGGTTTTGTTATTGCAGAATGGTTGGAATAAACACCTTGCTAAGTGACTCCTGTATGCACCAGGGCTTTCTCTCTGCCGTGAAGTAGATTCCGACTCACATCGACCCGATAGGACAAGGTAGACAGAACTGCCCTGTGAGTTTCTGAGACTGTAACTTTTTAAGGGAAAAGAAAGCCTCACAGAATAGCCGGTGGTTTCAAACTGTTGACCCCAGCACTACCAGTCCAACATGTAACCACTACGGCACCAAGGCCTCTCGGTAAGAATAAAGGAAATCCGTCAAGAGCAGAAGAAACTCTCCTCTACATCAATTGTAGGCATGTAGGCATGTCTCGTGCAAAAAACTTTAGTCCTTAATTATATAACTTGTATTTTGAGGCACAATTCCGCTACAGACTAAAATAAAGGTAAAATGAGGTGAACATAACATAGCATCACACTTTTGGGGGTTCCCCCACACAGCATTTGGAGATTTACAGGGAGCCTAACATCATTTATTCAGATAATAATCCTGTGAGCTGAGCAGAGGCACTAGTTAAAACCTATTTGACAAGGACGATCGTGAGCTTGGAGCGGTAGTCAGAGAATCTCAGGGTCCCTGTGCAAGCCTCTTAGTCTCTAGTCTCTGCACGGCTCTGTCATTTACAGGCATATTTATAACCACCAACAACTTAAGTGTATACAGTGAACCCTTGTTTATCGCAGTTAATCGTTTCTAGACCCTACCGTGATAAATGAAATTCCGCGAAGTAGGATTCCTTATTTGTAAATCAAATATTTTCGTAGTTAGAGGATAGAGGACATGAAAAAACACCCTTTAGTCACCATTACACTCGTATTACCCAATTTATTAAACGAAAAAGGGAAAATGCAGTAAAACAATTTGGATGTTACAATTATCATTTATTATTTATTATATTATGAATTACATCGGATGGAGCGAACGGAAGACTCATTCAAGTCGAAATGGCGTGCAACCTCCACGATTTTCTTGCCATCTTTGTTCATATCCAAAAGTTTTACCTTTTCCTGGATGGTGAGCATCTTCTTCTGGCGCTTATTTTTATTTTCAGAAGGCTTAGAAGAAGCAGCTCATTTAGGAGCCATCATAGTGCTTAGATAAAATTTCTTAAAAATCGCACAATTACAGTACACTGTACAAAAGCAAAAATGCATCTGATACGTAGCTCCGATACGTAGCGATGCAGACAGAAGCGTGTACAGTATCAGCCAATCAGTGGCAGTAATGACAGAGCATGCGCTGTTACGCAAAAACCGCGATAGAGTGAAGCCGTGGAAGTCGAAGCGCGAAGTGGCGAGGGTTCACTGTAGTTCTAAGTAAACTCGGGAACCACCTGTACAATACTTTACTCCTGAGAACACTCACGATCCATCTGTTCATCTTCCCGATCTGTGGCATATGCCCCACTGCCCTGGACAAATTCCCAGACATTAAGTAGCCCAAAGAACAATGAAGAAATGAGCCACAGTGGAGAATGAGAACATCAAACCCCAGGCTCCCCTCTGTCCTCTGCTGGCTACACAGCCTGCAGCAGCTCATTCACCCTCGGTGCAGTCGGTGTCCTCCTCCGCCAAACGCGGAAGAAACGGACACCTGCCTTTTGTGCCCCACCCGCCCTGACTGAAAGAGCCCTCGTGACTTAGTGAACTACAAACGGACCTTCTAACCACAAGACCGGTGGGATGAAGCCACCAGTCGCTTCAAGAAAGAAAGAAGAGGCCCTGCTCAAGGAAGACTTAAAGTTTCAGAAACAGTTCTACTCTGTCCTGTCCTACTCAAATCCATGAGTAGGAATTGATTCATCCGCAGTGAGAGAAAGAAATAAAACCTAGCTAATGTCTATAATAACAAGTAGATTCTGAAGTTTCATACACATATCTTTATCAGCAGTCCAAATTTTTAAAAAAAGGTTCCTTAAACTGAGTCCACACTCTAATTATATCCATTTAAAAAGGGGGTGGAGTGGGTTAGGGTGTTCCCCAAGCACCTATTAAAACCATACTCTAATATAAAACAGGAAAATAGCAAATTCCCAATAAGAGATACTATCTCCTCAATTTCCTACTTTAAAAGATTGTTTAGCCCTGTCAAATAGATTGCAATATGCCTAAACAAATCCTAAAGGCCACTGTCCTTGTCAAAAAACAAAATAATAATACACAGATTGATGCTCACAATTCTGGCTTCAAAAATGATTCTCACTTGTCATTAGGTGAGGAAAAGCAAAGATCATTTGTTTCAGTATGAAAGAAGAAGAGAAATAATCAAGTGCTTCCAATACTACATTTGGACGCAACACTGAAGGCTCCGTGGGTGATGGTGTTGTGTCAGCTTGGCTGTCAGCATTCTCAGTGGCTTGGCAGTTGGGGCCTCCCCACAATGGGCTCTCCCACGATGTAATCAACTCCATATGGGATCTGCTGTAATAGGCCAAGAACTCATGGGAAGATTAGGGTGTCATGCTAGCCCTTTGATCACACCAAAACTGCAACCAGAAGATAGTGCCATGCGCCTGCTTCCTCGGTGGGAAGCTAGCTCACTTCTTGCTGGTCTGGGACCTGAACCTGGCTCATTGGCCCTGGAGCTCAGGGGCCAGTCACATTGCCTGCTGCCTGCAGGCTCGTCTGCCTCTGCCTCCACCTCCACCAGCCTTCCTGTTGGGCTTCCTGCTTCAGGCTCATCCGCCTTGCCAGCTGCACCAGTAAATAATATTAAGCATAAGACTGCAAACCTAACATCTGACATCTGACCCCACAGCCTTGAACCAGGCCAAACTGCTTCTACAACTGCGTGAGCCACTTTGTTGACATAAAATTCCATGTAATTTAATATATGTATGTATATATGCATAATAGGTACAGCATGACTGGTTTTCCTGCTCATACTAACACACAGTATTTTTAAATTGAAATCTCCTAATTGTACCTGTTTCTCTTTAACAGCTGCACGGCCCAGAGAATGGTTTTCTAAAATCTTTATATTCAGTTTTTTGTTGTTGTTTCATCCCTGAAACTTCCAGATCTCATCATCAAAGCTTCCTTTAAATCCGAGAGGATCGAGGATGAATGTAATGACCCTGGCTACTAATCAATCACCTTTAACAACTAAGGCGCTACATCAGAATAATTACCTCTGCAAAAAAGTTATCATATTATATTATTGGGACCAAACTACTGGATCTTCATCACTTTGTGTAAGATCGATCCCATCCTCAATATTTCAAGGTGTCATGGCCTAAATTGTGCACCCTGGCCCAGGTATGTGCCAATGTGGCCGGGCCAGGATTCTTAGTGATTTGGCAGTTTGTAATGATGTGATTAT